CATCCAGAAACTAGAAACCACGTTTTTTAACGAAGGTACACCCACACCACCGGTGCTTGGCAACACCAAGCACAGTCCATTTTCCCAGCGCACCACCACTTAGCATTTTGTCATTACTGCATTACTTTAAATTAAAACCATATCGAGGCCTCAGAGAGTCACAGCAGATCACGTGGCTTGAAATTTACAGAGAAAGGCTGTCAGTCTTTTAGATAAACAGACACATGCTAACAGTCTGTTACCCCAGCTAATGTTAGCCTAGCCTTTTTTCACCTCATATGATTCAGCAGGCAGTTTGTGGAGCGGTAGTGAACTGACCCCTGCTGGAAAAACCCAGCATAGACCAGCAAAACCAGCATAAACTAGCGTAGACTAGCTTAGCATTCATGCTGGCCTGTGCTGTTTTTTCAGCAGGGATACCAAGCTTGATAAATGTTGTTGAAAATGTTTTATTTCATAAAATTTAAATGAATAGAGTTGACATATCAGCGCTGTCATTGCAATGCATTCTGTAGGATTCTTGAATTCTGTAGGTGTCTTGTTCTGCAAGATGCTACATGACGCTGCGCATCCGGTGTGTGGTGGCATTCAGCTTTTCCAAAATACCTACATTTCGAGATTGTTATTAATTTCAGTGTTTATGCTCGACATTTATTTCAATGTTTGCACTGTCAGGATAAACCGGGTGGAGTTTTTAGGGATCTGATTGATGGGATAAGCTGAAAGTTTGCAATGCTAGCTAGCTAAGTTAGCATCATAGCCTCCACTAGCTACTCTTAGCATGACTGAAGAGATTTACTACAACATTTTTTTTCTGTAATACACACCATATATACCACCATTACGGCAAAAACAGAAAGCGTGACTATACACTCTTAAAAATACGGTCCTTCAAGGGTTCTTTAGAAAGGGAAATGGTTCTATATAGAACCATGAACCCTTTGCATGATTAAAGCGTTCTTTACATCACTAAATGTTTTTTCAGATTGATGGAAAATGTGTTTTATGTGGTTCTATATAGAACCTTTTTGATATATAGCACCAAAAAGGGTTCTTTTATTGTTACAGGCTTGATATCATATCAATAGAAGAATGCTTTATGGTGCTATATGGAACCTTTTTCAAAAAGGTTCTATTAAGAACCATATATAGCATATTCTCTCTGAATCTGAAAAAAACATTTAGCGATGTGAAGAACCCTTTAATCATGCACAGGGTTCTTTGAGTGTTCATGGTTCTTTACTAAAGAACCTCATCAAGCTCAGCTAATCTGTGTAATGGTAGCATATAAACTGAGCTGCGTGCTAATTTTCATTTTGCAAATTTAAATATGTACATGAGCAGAATAATCCAAACAAACAAAGGTAAAATAAAGGTACAATATTTTACCACAATATTGGTGCGTCAGTGGTAGAACTCTCGCCTACCATGTGGGAGACACGGGTCCGATTCCCGGCCAATGCAACCGTACAGTGGTTTTGGGGCAGTCATGGGCTGGAGGTTAGGGAACCAGCCTTGTGACTGGAAGGTTGCTGGTTTGATCCCCTGAGCCGACAGTACATGACTGAGGTGCTCTTGAGCAAAACACCTAACTCCCAACTGCTCCCCGGGTGCTGTGGGTAGGGCTGCCCACCGCCCCAGGCAAGTGTGCTCACTGCCCCCTAGTGTGTGTGTTCACTAGTATGCATGTGGTGTTTCACTGCACGGATGGGAGGCGAGGTGAAATTTCCCCATTGTGGGACTAATAAGGGTCACTTTATTCATTTATAAGCGTCACTCAGTTTTTCAAATTAAAATCACTTTCCTCAAAAGAGAAAACCTGTAAATCAGACCAAAATATCAATGCAACACAAAATATGTATGAAATTTATCCAAAAGCTAGGTTGACATTTATGGAATTTTTTTAAATTATATTTTATTTTTTTCTGTAAAGTTTGTCCAGCCTAGCAACATTCGCTAAAACAAAGCATGGACAGGTCAATCATCTGTTCTGTGCTCATAATTTCATAGTAAAAGTCCCTGAAATGGATCACCTGTGGGAGGTAGCTGTCTCCTCAGCAGCAGAAACGAAGGTTTTCGCAGGTGTTTTTCGCAGAAGTCTCGGTATGAGCAGTGAAGGAGAAACTCCACAGAGCTGGACGTTATTTTTTAAAGGCACACTCTGCAATTTCTCAACAGTAAAAGTGGCAGTTCTGACGTCGTTTCATCACGCGATGCAAAATCATACGAGGAACTCACTAAACACAGAAAACTGCATGTAAACAGTCGCTTCAAAACCTTTTGTTCTGGCCGCTGACGGAAGTTATGAGATGTGACGAGTTATTGTTATGAATCAGACAGCAATTCTGACGTAAACGATCACAGAGCGTGGCTTTAAATGAAAACTCTATTCCTTCTGACCTACAGACACGGATACACACACAGGACGCTACAGCTAGACTCAATATTGCCATATTTAAAGAGGAAACATCGGTTCCCTTCAACACACAGACAGAAGACAGTTTTATTTTCTCAGGGTTGAAAGTGCAGAAATACTCGGCTACAGGGTTTAATGTGCACTGAAAAAAGTGCTGCGTAGAATCGGCTTGATTTAAATGTGCACATAACGTCTGAATGAATGAAACATATTACATCAACACTCTTCTCTGGGGCTGGGATGAAAAGCAAGTTTGAAAAGTCCATAAATCGGGACAAAATTATTGATAAATATCGATGAATTTGTTATTTAAAAACATGGCAAATTTTCACTTACATTTTGCATATCTATGACAGTTCCCATTTGCGCCAGGAGGGGGCCCCAAAGCCACAAACCCATAGACCACTGTAGTCATGTCGTTATTTTGTAGTCAGTGCCATGCTCTTATGATCATATTAGACACTGCGGGTCTGAGCTCCATTTCTCTATGGCCAGAGGTTTTCGAAAAATCGCCTCTATCGCCCCCTGTGTTAAATAAAAATGTCCAGAACCCGAAACGTTTTGTCCTGTAAACATTCTTCTCTCAAATACAACTGAATTGTCTGAATTATAAGATCCTTAAAGAGTTGAAATATGAATATTGCTACATGTGAGCTAAAGCTTCATGGAGGGTTGAAAGGCCTGATATGAGGAGGTTTCTCTATTTCCGCTGAACAGCTGTTTAACATGAACTTATTTTTGCTGTTCCACAGAAGTCACAGGTGCTGCACCATTTAAGGTGGAACGGGAACATTCAAACAAGAAGCTGCAAAAAAAGAAGCTAAATTCAGCCTCGTAGTTTTAATGCTGGTAGTATTTTTGGTAAGGAGTTTTAGTTTATCAAAATATCCCACCTAGAGGTTTTATTTACGGGTATACCTGTAATTATGCGCTACAGTAGAACATTTCGATAAGATACCACAGCTCGTCAGGGCACCACCACAGCCCGCCTTAGTTTCATGTAGCTTAGTGACATCAAATTGATGCGCAGTAGCTTTAGCTCGCATGTAGCAATATTAGTATTAATGCTCTTTAATGACCTCGTAATTCAGAGGATCCAGTGATATTCGAGAGAAGAATGTTCACAGGACAAAACGTATCGGGTTCTGAACATTTTTATTTAACACAGGGGGCGACAGAGACGATTTTTCAAAAACCCTATTCATTCTGGCCATAGAGAAATGGAGCTCAGACCTGGAGTTCCTAATATGGGCATAACGAGGACTACAGAATGACACACGACTACAGTGGTCTATTTACACGGAAGTTTAGCAGAATGGGCCGTTACTCAGTGTCTGCAGCTTAGAGTCGCTCTGGCTAAATGAAAAGTTTCATTGCTGTTGCTACTTAATTTTTTCTTTCTGTTTGTATTTAATAAGACTAAAAAAATCAACTCAACACCAAAAGACCTCACGATGACTAAATATTAAACCAGCCTTAAGAATGAAAAATGTATCTTTTGATGGTGTTTTCTCTGTGTAGCCACACGCTAGTGAGTGTCACTCACAGGTCAGGTCACTGCTGTACATAAATGAAGCAAAACCAGACTGCGATTCCAGATAATGGAGCACAGAACGCCATGCTTACAAATATAAAGAACAAAAAAACAATACTTGTGATTTCCTCAACATTAGTGATAACTATTGATAAATATGAACATATCCAGTATTTAAAACCATGGAAGTTTTACACTAACAAAAGACAAGCTGTGAAAACGTTCACTGTACACTGATGAACTTTAGCAGAATGGGCTGTTACTCAGTGTCTGCAGCCTTAAGTGGCACTGGCTAAAAGAAAAATGGATCCATTTCTTCTTTATCTTTGTCTTCTTGGTGCAAGTGTTTAACAAAACGGCGCAACACAGCAAAAGATTCAGTCTGTTAAAAAGAAAAGAAAAAAAAGATAAATTCTGCTTTCGTGTCAGTAAATAAACTATTAAGTCCTCCCAGCCCGACTTTCCTGTCTTTCGGTTTATTTACTTTTGGGAATAATTCTGTTGATGTAATATAGTTTATTCATGTGGAAATGATGTGCACATTTAAACACATTGAATTCAACACTGTATTTTCTTCAGTATGTGCTGTATATGCATGTGTATGTGTGTATATAGCACTGTGCAAAAGTCAGAGACCTCCTTTCATTATGTAAAAGTTTTCAGTGTTGAGTGAGTCTCTCTTTCCCTTTATTCCAGCTTCCGTTCTCTTCAGGAGACTCACTTTCGGTTCCTTAAAAAATCTGCAGACACACCTCCAAAGTTCAGTCGTAGAAGCTGGTTGATCATTTCCTGAAGTAATCAAACACATTCAGTGGTGTTGAGGTCTGGACTCTGGGGTGGTCAGTCCATTGTCCAGCTTCTTTGTTTGATGTGTCCGTCTCCTTTTCTCAGTGAGGTTCTTCTTGATCAGCTACACATCCTTTCAGACCCACAGCGCTGAGTCGTCTTCTCACAGTGGAAGGATGGACAGAAACACCTGTGGATGTTTTCAGATCTGATCAGCTTGATTTTCTCCTCTCTCTCAGAGATGAAAGCTTTAAGTGCTGTTTATCTGATGGGGGCAGTTTTGGGGGCTACCAGGTCTTCCAGGTGGTTGTTAGGAGACACATTTCCTCTGTAACTGACTTTAATCAGTTTAAAATAAATAAATGAAGGGTCTCTGACTTCCACACAGTACTGTATGTGTACGTGTGCATGTGTGTTTTCTCTACAAATGTCCGTGTTCCAGTTCTCAGCCCCAGGCTCGTTGTTCTACAGTAGTTCTAGATTCTCCGGCGGCGCGCCCTAAAGCTCTGAAATGCCATTTTTTTCACTTGTAATGTCCAGTGAGATGATCGGTGATTGGAGAATGATCAATCACAGTCAGTCTTACTCGTTCTGCACCAGCGAAAAGGTTTTGCATGTGGAAAATGCTTCAGTTATGCTTTAGTTGCCTCGCTGTGTCTCCTCCAGCCAGCAGGGAGCAGTGTAGAGTCTCAGCGCCTTCATCGAGACATCATCCGCACAAACTCTACAAAATCATTTGGGAGAACATTTATTTTATATACACAGTTTATAATTATTTTTTATTAGCTAATACTCTCTCATATTATATACGGTAGAAGTAAATAGTGTAGAGCAAAGAAATTGCACTAAAAATGCCATATTTATCTTCTCTGTAGAAGCTGTGTTAAAGGGGAACTCCACTAATTTTTCAAAATTCTTGCGTAATTAAATAGGTAAGACGTAAACAGAGTCGTTCAGAGTGGTTTGGTGTGAAACGCTCTGTTCTAGAGAAACTTATCGAGTCAGAACTGCTCACAGTGGTGGTGATAGGAACCAGACGTCCACCTCTAAAAGCTCCCTCACAGAAAGTTCCTACATGAAATGGTTATGAATTCACTGCCTGATGACTGAGACACTGTTTTATGATAGTTTTGTGATAAAGTTTTGGTCTAAAATGTATTTTAATCCCTTATTTTAATGCATTCATGATGGAGGGGTACATAGTAAACAAAATGTCTATATTTGTGTTGTAGTCATGGCGACCCCTGGTTCCTATCACCACCACTGTAAAGACATCTGGGTCAGTAAGTTTCTCTACAATGAACCGTTTCACATCAAACCACTCTGAATGCTTTTTGTTTACATCTCAGCGGCTGAATTTCACAGAAATTTTAACTTATTTTCACTTTCACTTATTTTTCAATTCTAAAATCTACAAAACATAGAATTTTGACTGGGGCGCACAAACTTTTGCACACGACTAGACACTATTTACTATCTCTGTTTTTAGCTATAGATAACAGTATATACACAATTTGACACAGTTAGTGCCAAGCAGAGAACATTTTAAGCATGCAGTTAGCCCCATGCTAATTAGCATGCTAATAAGCTTCCATTCCTTGTTAGCGACATTAGCCTCGTCGCTCCAGTGCTGAAACGAAACATGTTGGCTGATCGACAACCAAACAACTATTCCTCTAAAAGGAGATGAGTTTGAGTCTTAATTTCCTTTCATAAACAGTGAAAATACTGAATCTGTTTAGATTTGCATGGCATTATAAAACGTTAGCTGCATGTTAGCTAATTCGATTGAGCTCACCCTCAAAATCCACACGTCCGTCCCCGTTCAGGTCGATATCTTTCAGAATGTCCTCCAGGTCCCGGTGGCCGACCTGACAGACCAGAAAGACTGATTTAAACACAAAGACTCTCACAGATGCAGATACGTTCCTGTGTTAAAGTCTTAGCAGCCGAGCTAAATTTAAAACTGTTTATCTTTATCAGTACTTTTATTATAGGAAGTAAAACCACTATAAAACTTACAATGGTGTTTCAGGGCCACTGTTAATAAAAATAATAGACTTCGAGAATAAAGTCATAATATTTCGAGAAAAAAGTCGTAATATTTTGAGAATAAAGTCGTAATATTTTGAGAAAAAAGTCATAATGTTTTGAGAATAAAGTCATAATATTTCAAGTAAAAAAGTCATAATATTTCGAAAAAGAATTGTAATATTTGGAGAAATAATTTGTAATATTTGGAGAAAAAATGTGTAATATTGCGAGAATAAAGTTGTAGAATTACGACATCAAAGTGGCATTAATACCAGGAAAGATCGCAATATTGTGGCCAAAGGCTTTGCTAAGGGAAGGCAGCACCTCCTCGTGTTAAATGAGGGGCGGTGAGTTGGTGGAGTTCTACTTTCATATCGATTCACTCATAAAGAAACACTCAGTCTCCCTGTCTCTCCTGCACATCAGCACCAGCCTGTTATTAGTATAAGAACCGGCTGAAACGGCTGAGCAGGAAACTGTGTTTATCTAGAATAAAGAGCCAGACGGACTCGGAGGAAACTGTGTTTATCTAGAATAAAGAGCCAGACGGACTCGGAGGAAACTGTCTGTCTGTGTTGTTGAAGGAGAATCTCAGGCAGGGTCGTCTACACGGCTATCGGGGGCTACATCTCCCCCCATTCAAAGAGGGCATGAAGTTTCACAGACAGTGAGAATGATGATCAAAATGATCCACAGAGAGACAGGAGTGAGTGGAGCTCCCACGCGCACCCACGCTTACAGCAACCGAGACCCCAACGCGTTATGGCAGCCCCCCTACAGTACAGCAACCGAGACCCCAACGCGTTATGGCAGCCCCCCTACAGTACAGCAGCCGAGACCCCAACGCGTTATGGCAGCCCCCCTACAGTACAGCAACCGAGACCCCAACGCGTTATGGCAGCCCCCCTACAGTTAGCCCCCCTACAGTTAGCCCACTTTATCCTCCAAATATTACGACATTAATCTCGAAGTCTACTATTTTTATTTTTATTAACAGTGGCCCTGAAACGCCATCATAAAAACTATATAACGTTAAAATAAATACAAATAAACATACAGTTATCAACATAAAATTCATTTTCACAGCGTTTTCAAACTCTCTCTTAATCCATCAGAATTAAACAGGCTGTTTTTGTTACTGTGCCTTTAAGAATGATATATTTAAATGATCTCAATTCTGATTGGATGCTTCATTTGAAAAGCAGGTCTGAACCACTGGTCCTAACTTTAGTGTGGGTGGACGGAGCTAAACTGCTGTAGGCTAAATAGGCAGTTACATGTAAATATGATGGTGTTGTTTGTGACATCACAAAACAGTGATGTCACAAACAGTGAATTAAAAACAGGCTGCTTTTGCAACTTTGCTTCCATATATGGAGTGTTTGGACCAGGGAGTGATCGTTATGTTTTATGTTTATGTTTAACTTTACCAGTGATTACATGCCATATCAAAATTCAGAATAAAAAGTATAGAAAAAGTCAGTTTTCCAAGATATGGGACCTTTAAAAAGTTATGAATACATTTTCTCAGATGCCTAAGACTTCAGTACAGTGCAAACACACACAGGTACAGTACAGTCACTCACCTGATGTCCCAGCAGTTTCCTCATGGCTTCCCTCAGCTCACTCGTGCTAATCTCTCCATCTCCGTTTGTGTCAAACTGAAGAGCAGCATAAGGATATTTATGTGCATTTTGTTTAACTTTAAAACCTTTAGAATCACGTCGAAATTTATATGAATTATGAACATTGTTATTAAGTTTGCTTGTTAAAGGACACCATAGCAACAGCCTAGAAAGACCTTAACAACCACCTGGGATATCATTGCAACGGCCTAGCAGCACCTTAGCAATCACCTAGAACACCCCAGCAATGGCCTGGCAACATTTAGCAACCATCTGGAATACCGCCTATAATACCTTAGCATCTGCCTAGCAACACCTTAGCAACCGCTCTAAATATCATAGCAACGGCTTAGCAACACCTCAGCAACCACCTGGGATAGCATAGTAATGGCCTAGCAACACCTCAGCAACTACCTGGGATACCATATCAATGGCCTAGCAACACCTTAGCAACTACCTGGGATACCATTATAATAGCCTAGCAACACCTTAGCAACCACCTAGGATACCATAGCAACTGCCTCTCAACACCTTAGCAACCACTCTAAAAACCACAGTAACAGCCTATCAACACTTTAGCAACCACCTGGAATACCATGTCAATGGCCTAGCAGCACCTTAGCAACCACCTGGGATACCATAGCAACTGCCTATCAACACCTTAGCAACCACTCTAAATACCATATTAACGGCACCTTAGCAGCCACCTGGGATACCATAGCAGCTGCCTAGCAGCACCTTAGCAGTAACGTGGGACAACACAGCAACCACCTAACAACAGCCTAGCAACATCTTAGCCACCAGCTGAGTTACCATTATAATGGCCTAGCAACACCTTACCAGCCACCGGAGATACCACATTATTGGCCTAGCAAAATCTTAGCAACAGCCTATGACAACATAGCAACCACTTAACAATGGCCTAGCAAAACCTTTGCAACTGGCTAAGATACCATAGCAACACTTTAGCAGCCACCTAGGATACCTTTGCAACAGCCTAGCAACAATTTATCGACCACTCTGAATACCATAGCAACACCTTAGCAACCTCCTGGGATACCATAGCTTTGTCAAGTCAATTCTTTCCCGTTCTGCATGTTGTAGTCATGCAATTATATGTAAACAGTATTTTAAACTGACAGTAATAGTTTCCCCCTCAGTCGCTATGATCAGCATTATTTACAGTATTTACAGTAGATTCTCATTCAGGCTCATTTGTCATCAGTATAACAGTGACGGTCCGTATTCTGTAGGATGTTCTCACCTCTTTAAAGGCGTCTCTCAGCTCCTTCACTCCAATCATGTCGGCCGTCTCTGCCAGCAGTTTCGGACCCATCAAGCCCACAAAGTCATCAAAGTCCACATGACCCCCCACTGAGAGAGAGAGAGACAGAGAGAGAGAGAGAGATACAGAAGAGAGAGAGAGAGAGAGAGAGAGAGAGAGAGAGAGAGAGAAGAGAGAGATATAGAAAGAGAGAAGGAGAGATAGAGAGAGATAGAGAGAGAGAGAGACAGAGAGAGAAAGAGAGAGAGAGAGAGAGAGAGAGAGAGAGAGAGAGAGAGAGATACACTATATCACTGTGGTCCAACATTACGGCTGGATTACAAACTCAGCTGAACGTTTCAGTTTCACCTGCTGTCTATATATGTACAGCACGTGGTCATTTTACACAAGAGACACTGATAATAATATTAATTATGAATAACATACATAACAACATCTGCTGTCAGAACAAAACCTCGTATCTCCAAAATGGTAACTTTATAGGAGAAAGAAAAACATTCTTTACTTTTAATGTAAGTCAGTGGAACCAGAATTTTTTCCAAGTAGTTTTGGGCCGTTTCTTTTAGTCCATTCATCATGAAACTTTCACACAATGTAAAAGGCAGCAGGCATTTTCACATATTTTGCACCAACTTTCACATAGGTTTAGTGCCGACAGCAGCGATATCTTTAATTATATAGCACTTTTCATTTTAGTTATAAGATCTGAAAAACAGGAGTATAAAAGTAAGTACACCAATCAGGCATAACATTCTGACCACCTCCTTGTTTCTACGCTCATTGTCCATTTTATCAGCTCCACTTACTATATAGGTGCACTTTGTAGTTCTACAGTTACAGACTGTAGTCCATCTGTTTCTCTGATACTTTGTTAGCCCCCTTTTACCCTGTTCTTCAGTGGCCAGGACCCCCATGGACCCTCACAGAGCAGGTACTATTTGGGCGGTGGATCATTCTCAGCACTGCAGTAACACTGACGTGGTGGTGGTGGTGTGTTAATGTGTGTTGCGCTGGTCTGAGTGGATCAGACACAGCAGTGCTGCTGGAGTTTTTAAACACCTCAGTGTAAAATGGTTCTATATAGCACCAATATGGGTTCTTATGTCAAGCTTGTAACAATAAAGGAACCCTTTTCAAAAAGATTCTATATAGACTCATCTATAGCACGTTCTCCATCAGTCTGAAGAACCATTTTACCATGCAAAGAACCATGTAAGCATGCTAACGGTTCTTTGAGTGTTCATTGTTCAACACAGATAGATTCATGTTTCTATCATACACACTTAAAAAAGAAAATGGTTCTATATAGAACCATGAACACTCAAAGAGTCCTTTGCATGATTAAAGGGTTCTCTGCATCATGAAATGGTTCTTTAGACTGATGGAGAAGGTGCTATAGATGGTTCTATATAGAAACTTTTTGAAAAGGGTTCTATATAGCACCAAAAGGGCTCTGTTATTGTTACGATGTCAATAATAGAGGAACGCTTATTGGTGCTGTATAGAACCCTTTCCAAAAAGGTTTTATATAGAACCATCTATAGCACATTCTCCATCAGTCTAAAGAACCATTTCATGATGCAAAGAACCCTTTAATCATGCAAAGGACTCTTTAAATGCTCATGGTTCTATGTAGAACCACTGTCTTTACTAAAGAACCCTTGAAGAACCATCTATTTTAGAAGTGTGGAGTTTGCAGTATTTATTGTATTTACTGTTACCTGCTGCTGCCTTTGGCTTTGACTTAAATACTGTGCATGTAAAATGCACTGATGTTGGAGTTTTTAAATTAATTAAACTCAATTCTAAAAAGATTTAATAGAGTATTTTCTTTATTCTCTGAAGATTCAGTCTGTAATCAAACACGGTCAGAGGTTCACACCGACTCATCACACTCACATACTTACGGTTCATGTTGATCTGCTGGCTGAGTTCGATCAGCTCCATCTCGGTGGGCATGTAGCCCATCGTTCTCATGCAGTTCCCCAGATCCTTACAGCTGATGAAGCCGTCCTTATCTTTATCAAACTCCCGAAACGCCTCACGCAGCTCTGCACACGCACGAGAGGTCATAATCAGAACAACCAATCACTACAGCCTGTATGACTTATACATATCTACTGAAACACAGAGCCAAAACACCACACAGAGTACTGCACTCTTATATTAGCCAGAGTAAAGACTAAACTTTAGTCCATGTTTATAGATAACAGAGTCATACAGTATCAGAAACCACATAATCAGGTCTATTAGAGACACTGAACAACTACACATGGTTTAAAGACACTATGTGGTGGTTTAGACGTGTAGTTAGCACCATGCTAATCAGTGGGGCATAAGCTTCCATTACTAGTTAGCACAATTAGCTTCATAGCTCCAGTGCTAAAACTAAAGAAGCAAACTCTAAGACAGCAAACATGTCTTTGCTGTTCAACTACATCTAGGTTAAGGAAGGTAAACTACAGAATTAAGATTTTAAACTTGAGTTTATTTTAGCACAACCATCTGAAAGGGCCAGAAAAGAGCGCTAAAGTATCAGCTCACCTTCAATCTCCTCAGGTCTCAGTTCTCGATCCTGTTCAACGAAACACAAACGGAGAGAAGCAGAGAAATGTTAAATATTGTGCAAAAAGCAAGACCTGAGGGAAACGTTTAGCTACAAAAAGTTAATATGGGGTATGATCATAGGAATATTACCACATAGGATAATTACAGCGTTTCATGCTGTACATAAGAAAAGAACAGAAAACCTGTTTTCTCCAAAACAATTATAATAGAAGCTAATGTGCACTTGGTTTAGCAACTGTCCATTCACTTCCATTGTAAGGGATTTTCAAGTCAGTGGTGTTTCTGTTTTCTAAGTACATAGATACTATTCAGCAAATACCATCATAATCCACCAAACACCATCATTACCTACCAAATGCCATCAAAATCCAGAAGACACTACCATTCCCCAGCAAACACTGTCATGTTCCACCAAACACGTTGCTATCCACCAAACACCATCATTATCCACCAAACACATTACTATCCACCAAACACCATCGTAATGCCATCATAATCCAGAAGACACTTCCATTCTCCAACAAACACCATCATGTTCCACCAAACACATTACTATCCACCAAACACCATCATTATCCAGCAAACATCATGTTCCACCAAACACATCATTCTCCAACAAACACCGTCATGCTCCACCAAACACATTACTATCCACCAAACACCATCATTATCCAGCAAACAACATCATGTTCCACCAAACACATCATTCTCCAACAAGCACCATCATGCTCCACCAAACACATTACCATCCACCAAACACCATCATTATCCAGCAAACATAAGAAAAGAACAGAAAACCTGTCTTCTCCAAAACAATTATAATAGAAGCTAATGTCACTTGGTTTAGCAACTGTCCCATTCACTTCCATTGTAAGTGATTTTCAAGTCAGTGGTGTTTCTGTTCTTTTCTAAGTACACAGATACTATCAGTGGTAATTGACCATGCAATACAGATGCAGAAGATCAAAATTAGCTTGAAAAGCACTTGAAAATATTCCTTCAAGCTCATGAATGCAGTACCAGAACGTCCTCTTCAACCTGTGGAAGCTGAAACATGCACAGTGTCTCCATCATGGCTTTGCTCACAGTGTCAAAGCAATGTCCTCCAGCTGTTTTATAGCAGAAGGTAACGTCATGGGCCTGTGGAAGGCAGGAGGTGGTCCTAAATCTCACACACATATGCAGCAGGGAAACGGGGTGTGTTCATCGCGGAAACGTTGGCGTGAGCCAGTGGAAGAATGCGAGTCTTTGGCCTACAGGGACAACAGCCTTTAAAGGCCATGGAGCGAGAACAGAGGAACCAGGTGGAGAACAGAGACTGGAGGGTTAACACGAGGAGAGGGGGGCGTAAACATACACACATACACACACACCCACCCACACACACACACACACACACTGCTCTAATGGACACCAGACACATGCAGACACGTATGGATACAGACTACGACATCGAACCAGAAATGGAGACAGAAGCAGGGCAGGTGAAATACCACACACGTCATCCTGCAGTTAAGAAAACCAGAAGAACGTTTCTTTTTATATGACCATGTTTGCATTCCTACAAATGTAAACTCTGCTAGGAAAACATCCCAGTTCAACAGACACTCTAAATCTTCTACTGCATCTCAATGAAGATAGAGCTGCAACGATTAGTTGATGATTATGGAAAAAGTTCATACAGTCATTCTGACATCATTTTTCCACCATAAATGTTAACTGGCCATTATCACCAAACACCATCACTCCATCATTTTACATCAAATACAAACATTTTCCACCAAACACCACCATTCTCCAAACAAAACATTTCTCCAACCAACATCATTCTCCACCAAACACTGTCATAATCCACCAAACACCACCATTCTCCAAACAAAACATTTCTCCAACCATCATTCTCCATCAAACACCATCATTATCCAAACACCATCATTCCCAAGTAAACATTATTCTCCACCAAACACCATCATTATCCATCACACACCATCATGTTCCACCAAACACATTACTATCCATCAAACACCATCATGTTTCACCAAACACCATCATAATTCACCAAACACATTACTATCCACCAAACACCATCATTATCTACCAAACACCAGCATAATCCAGAAGACACTACCATTCCCCAGCAAACACCATCATGTCCCACCAAACACATTACTATCCACCAAACTCCATCATTATCCAGCAAACACCATCATGTTTAACCAAATACATTACTATCCACCAAACACCATCATTGTCTAAAAAACACCATCATAGTCCAGAAGACACTACCATTCCCTAGCAAACACCATCATGTCCCACTAAACACATTACTATCCACCAAACACCATCATTATCTACCAAACACTGTCATAATCCAGAAGACACTACCACTCCCCAGCAAACACCATTATGTCCCACCAAACACATTCCTATCCACCAAACACCATCATTATCCAGCAGACATCATGTTCAACCTAACACATTACTACCCACCAAACACCATCATTATCCAGAAAACACCATCATGTTCCACCAAACACATTACTATCCACCAAACACCATCATTCTCCACCAAACACCATTATTATCCACCGAACTCCATGATGTTCCACCCAACTCCATCATTCTTCAGCAAACACCATTATTCTTGACCAAACACCATCATATTCCACCAAACACATTACTACCCACCAAACACCATCATTCTCCACCAAACACCATGATGTTCCACCCAACTCCATCATTCTTCATCAAACACCATTATTCTTGACCGAACAGCATCATGTTCCACCAAACACCATCATTCTTTGACAAGCCAAACAACAGACAAGATCAATTAAGCAGTGTCAATGAAGGAGAACATTCCACAGAATCCAAATAACCACAAAGGCCTACAGGAACTGCACACTGAATAAGTAAGTACCCCGACACAAAACACCCCCAACACCATTATTATCCAAAAAACACCACCATTCTGTAACTGTCCACCAGCCATCATCATTCTCCCACAATACCAACATTCTCCAACAAACATCAAACATTTCCACCAATAAATGTTTGTCTTTAATGTTCTCAGTAACAAATGATGAGCCAAATGAAGCAGTATGAATGGGGGGAGAACTTTCCAGAGACTCCAAGTCACTGCATACGTCTAAATGTACAGCACATAAAAAAGTCAATGCGTTATTGACATATACACAAAGTATCTTTATAATGCTCTATAATGTTCATATGATCCACACAGTCATTCTGACAGACTGTAATACACTACAGGAAGTGTAGGGGGCGATATGTCTTCTACTGTTTCATTTAAAAAGCTCTATAATGTTCATATGATCCACACAGTCACTCTGACAGACTGTAATACACTACAGGAAGTGTAGGGGGCGATATGGTTTCTACTGTTTCATTTAAAAAGCCTCTATAATGTTCATATGATCCACACAGTCACTCTGACAGACTGTAATACACTACAGGAAGTGTAGGGGGCGATGTGGCTTCTACTGTTTCATTTAAAAAGCTCTATAATGTTCATATGATCATCACAGTCACTCTGACAGACTGTAATACACTACAGGAAGTGTAGGGGGCGATATGGCTTCTACTGTTTCATTTAAAAAGCCTCTATAATGTTCATATGATCATCACAGTCATTCTGACAGACTGTAATACACTACAGGAAGTGTAGGGGGCGATATGGCTTCTACTGTTTCATTTAAAAAGCTCTATAATGTTCATATGATCCACACAGTCACTCTGACAGACTGTAATACACTACAGGAAGTGTAGGGGGCGATATGACTTTTTCATGATACAATATAAATAATCGTTAGCCGATCTAGCTCAAGATCAGTATTTCTGCAGTCTCCTCATTGAATGCTTCAGCTCTCATTCACCACGAGTCTGAACTATTAAAACACTCGCTATTGTTCCAGCGTCTAATGAATCGTCTGTGGAAGTCCGTGTCCTTTCCCAGAGGCTGCAGTGTGTTTGTGTTGGCTGGTGTGTCTCGGTACAATCTGCTTCTCACTGGCCGGTTTCGCAGGCCTTCTGGCAGCCACACACAGACAAGCTCCTTTCATCACCACAGCGCTATTCAATCTGTCAGGACCAGAAGCTCCAGTGCAGAGAGGAATTTATTCAACTGTCGCTGCATAATAATGCACTAGTAAATATCCAGTAAAATCTCATACCTCCACTGACCTTCTTAATAGGAAGAACCTTAGATCATTTCTGCTCTTCTCTGATACACAAACACACTCACAGAGGTTCGTCTCCTTTCAGCATGCTGACAACTGAACACTTGGCTCCTGGCTAAATTCTCATGCTCTCTAATCCATCATCCTCTAATATCTATAAAGACTTGAACCAATTATGTTTAAATCAAAAATCAACCCATGAATGCCACTGTTCTCCACCAAACACTATCACAGTCTAGCAAACACCATGATTCTCAAACGAGTATCAACATTCTCCAATAAACCTCACTAAACATCATCCTCCATAAAACACCATCATTCTTAAAAACAAACTCCACCAAACAACATTATAGCCCAACACCAGCATTCTCTGTCAAACAGGATCATTCTCCAACGCCATAATTCTCCAGTAAACACCATCACTCTCCAACAAACACCAACAGTCTCCAATAAACCTCACTAAATATAATGCTACATCAAAATTTGCCAAACACCAACATTCTGCAATACACCCCACTAAACATAATTCTCCATTATAATCTGAGAAACACCAACATGCCCAAACACCATAATTCTCCAACAAACACCATAATTATCGAACACCAACATTCTCCAATAAACCCCGCTAAACATCATTATTCATTAAACACCATCATTATCAAATAAACACCATCATTCTCCAAAAAAACATTCTCTACCAAACACCATTACTCTCCAAAAAACACCAACATTCTCCAATAAACCTCACTAAACATAATTCTACATCAAAATTTGACAAACACCAAAATTCTGCAATACACTCCACTAAACATAATTCTCCATTATAATCTGACAAACACCAACATGTCCAAACACCATAATTTTCCAGCAAACACCATAATTATTGAACACCAACATTCTCCAATAAACCCCACTAAACATCATCATTCATTAAACACCATCATTATCTAACAAACACCATCATTTTACAAAAAAACATTCTCCACCAAACACATTATAGTCTAACACCAGCATTCTCCACCAAACACCATTACTCTCCAACAAACACCAACATTCTCCAATAAACTTCACTAAACATAACTCTCCATGAAACACCATCATTATCTAACCATCACCATTTTTCTCCAAAAAAGATCATTCTTCACCAAACACCCTCAGTCTCCAACACCATCAGTCTCCAACAAACACCATTATTCACAAACACGAACATTCTCTTATAAACACCACTAAACATCATAACTGTTCTCCGTGTTCCACCAAACACCATCATTCTCCACCAAACACCATCATTCTCAAACACCACTATTCTATCATAATCCCCACTAAACAACATATTCTGTGAAACACCATCATTATCTAACCAACACCATCATTCTCCAAAAAGACTTCTACACTAAACACCATAATTCTCAAACACCAACATGCTTCAATAAACCCCACTAAACATCACTCTCCATGAAACACCATCATTATCTAACCAACAGCATCTTTCTCCAAAAAACACTCTCCATCAAACACTCTTATAGTCCAACACTATTGGTCTCCAATAAACACCATATTTCCTGAACAAACACCAACATTTTTTTTGATAAACACCACAAAACATCATAACTGTTCTTTAACCATTGTGTTCCACCAAACATCATCCTCCACCAAACACCATCATTCTTGAATAAACACCATCATCCTCCACCAAACCCTATCATATTCCAAACCCCATTTTTTTCCAGTCAAACACTACTGCTCTTCACCATACGCTGTTATTCCCCACCAAATACCACCAATCTACAACAAACACTACTAATTATATTTCTCCACTAAAGACCATCAGTCTCTACCAAACACCAAGATCCTCCAAGTAGACCATAATTCAC